AAGAGCTACAGTATGCTTAGTGCTATTTGATTATTGTTGCTCGAGATCACTTTGATGTCGAATCCTTGAAAACGGGACAGCATTTGCGAAAGATACTACTCGCACCTTGTCCTTCCTCTTCAAAGTGTCAGTGTCGAATTAAAAAAAAATATTGATAAAAAATGTAAGTGGTTGCTTCATTTTTGCATTACTGAATGAACAAAAGAGCAAAAGCATCATTACAACTTACATCTTAACGTTAACGAGAGAAAAATAATCTTTGTCAAAACCTCACATGTGCCCTTTTAGTTTGATGTCAAATCAATCAATCGTATTTCGCATTCTCACCGAAACGCAAATGATTTGTAGAAAGTTTCTGTTCTGGTTCTAGTCATTAGGAATAAACACTTATGTGGAAGCAGCTAGTCTGGATTTCTTGGAAAATTCTATTTTTTAAATTTTGAAAATGAATATTCTGATGAGATAGTAGTCCAGGCTGGTGTTTAGTATACGAGTAAAAGTATTATTAATAGATAGCATTTGTATAGCGCAAATTCCAACTCAACAGCAAGCTCTATGTGCTTTTCAATCTATACTATTAACCCAACAGACCTGATAGCATTCTGAAAAAAAGCATCCTCGGAAGCATACAGTAGTGCAAGCTGTCATTTATAGGCGCAGAACACTAATGATCATTCGCTGTCTATAAAAGGGTACCCCTTCCCACGTGGGTGAAAATTATGTAAAGCGCCTTTCACAAGAACACAACAAATTGGACCTGCGGCTCGAACACACGAACGCGCAGTCTAACGATTACGAGTATCAGTATGGTAGTCTAACCACTAGACAACCGATGCCACATTTACTACGGCTTATAATATTATATTACTCTTTTCATTATTATTATTATTATTTTTTAAAATTATTATTATTATTATTATTATTATTATTATTATTATTATTATTATTATTATTATTATTATTATTATTATTATTATTATTATTATTATTATTATTATTGTCATTGCAAATATATAATAATGTTATTGCTATTACAAATAAGGCCAATAATGTTAGTTACCAGCTTACTCCACTACTAAACCATCTTAACATCCCCATGACAACAAAACTCAAAATGACCATCACAGTATTCATCCCAACCTATCAATGCCAAACATGGACCCCGAACAAGACATTGGAGTAAAAAATTGCAACATGTGAAATGCGATGTTTTAGAAAAGCATTAAACAAGACCAAGCGAGACAAAATTAGAAACTCAGTAATCAGGGAAATGGTGGGCACACATGATATCATTCATTACAATATTACATCCGACACCAACGAATCAAAAGGTTCGGACATCTCATGCGATTACCAACATACCATCCAGCACAACGTGCCTACATTAAAAAATTCGATAGCAACAAGGCCAGAGGGTGACCGAGAAAGACCAGGATAGATGGAGTCAGGGAAACACTAACAACCCACGACATCCTCCTGACCCAAGATCACCGGCTTGAGGCAGAGAGACTTCTCTTTCTTCCCACGACACCCAAAAGGGCATAAGCGGTGGATAAAAGTAAAAGTAAAAGATTGTTATTATATATATATATATATATACGAATTACATTATATGTGCGCCCTATATATATATATATATATATATATATATATATATATATATATATATATATATATATATATATATATATATATATATATATATATATATGGGTAGCGATATTTCCACGGCATGCTGTCTGAACATAGGAAGTGATACCTATATACGGTATGCCGTCTTGAGTCTAAAGATCGGAATTGATATTTCGACGGCATAGGCTCTGCTTGAAGTATATATCAATACAAGGATTGTGTTTGTTTTCCAGGAGACGAGTCGGGTGATCATACCTGGGCACCACACTGTTGAAAAAAAAACAATCTTCTCTCCATTTTGCTTACACAAAATAAATTGTGCATCTCTCACTCTCATTACAATCACACAAAACATTTCATCATTGTCCATAATGCACAAAATGATAGCAAAGGATAAACATTGTTAACTAAACATACAGGTATCTTCTCTATAATTATGCGTTACTTATGGGAAAGAGATTATAGGGTTAATTATAAATAGTCCGGACGTTCTGATTGGCTGAATTTATGTGCCGTGGAATTATCGCTTCCGATTTTTCGACGGCCTGTCGTATAAATATTCACTTTATAAGTGTGTGTGTGTGTGTGTGTGTGTGTGCGCGCGCGCGCGCGCGTGTGTGTGTGTGTGTGTGTGTGTGTGTGTGTGTGTGTGAGAGAGAGTGAGTGTGAGTGTGTGTGTATGTGTGTGTGTATGTGTGAGTGTGTATTATACAGGAGCTCACCCGTGAAAGGGAAATAATTTATGATAATTGCAAAAGTGTCTGTCCGAAAAGAATTAAAGTCACCCACTCTCTGTACCTAAACTTTGAAAAATTAACAGAAATTATATCAACTAGAGTGAACTTTATGAACAGAACTGTCATATATCACAGTAATTTTTGTACATTGGGACTTAAACCTGCTGGATACCTGGAGGTGTCAACTCTGACTCAGAAGTTGACGTGTTGCAACCCTCCATCCTTCACGGTCGCCTTGAGACCCAAAAGACGATTGAGGCCGGCCATCGTGGAAAAAGGTTGGGAACTTACCACGTGCGACTCAAAGAAATGTAATAGGGACTTATAATAGTACATTGTAGTCTAATAGTACTAATAGTCTAATACAAATTATTCTAATAGGCGCTGGCATAACGTTTTGGTGTTTTGAGGCTTCCCTTTTCAATAAATACGTCTTATTTGCAAAAAAATATACCAAGTTGGTACAAGCCTGAGAGTCATTTTTGATTAATAGGAATTACCAGAGGACAAGTACGTGATTAGAATGTTCACACTTACTCAACGAGGATGCTGTGTGAACATTTTGAACAGGAGTTATAATTTTGACGTATTGGGTAAACCTTTATCAAAATGAGTAGTTTCCCTTGAATCAAAATATTACACTTTAAGGTAAACCGTGGGTGACTCAGTCCCTGTTTAAAGTTTCTGGGATTCATAATTTGAAAAGTCAGAAGTTAAAGCTTTTGAGTTCAAATTAAGGGGGGTGGGGTGTTTTAAATGTATCAAATTAGACTCTTTAGAGAGTAAATAATATGTCCAATTTTATATGAAAATGACCTCATTCGAAATGGGGTGACTCAGGCATCCTTATATTATAAACGGTAGGCTACAAGGATGACTAAGGCATATTAACGGAAATGAAAACCATTATATTTCAATTCAGAAATATCTTTAAAAAAATATTTTCAACAAGGATAGAATAGTTCCCTGCATTTCATTCAAAATATAAAAAAACAAAAAACAAAACATTTCAAACCGTTGAAGTTGATCAAAATTACATATTATGTAGTACCTGTAATTGTATATCAAATTTTAAGGAATTTAAGTTGTAATGTATGCCTATAAGAAAAAAATCCATTTAGAGCAAATACATGAGGCTGTCAATGTCGATGAAGTTCTACCTTTAAAAAAAAAAAAGGGGGGGGGGGGGCAATTACAATTACAGCGGATGGTTATTTCGCTTATTTGTAGATCAAATTATATCAAGTTGAACACATACAAAAAGCAGGGCGAGGAGTTTTCAAATCAACAAAAAAACTGTTTCGTTGCAATAGAGATGGCAGTCATATTGGATTTTGTTGACGTGTCTTAAACGGTTATTTCCTTAATTTCAATAGAAATATGTTGTATATTGCACGCATGTTAGTAAACAACAGCTTTACGTTGAATATTTCCTAAACTAATTAGAAAATTTTAAACCATATATTGAAAATTGAAGAGATAATTCTATAGTGTTACCTGATCACTTCATTCTGAGAAAAGATTGGATGAAAAATGGTTAAAAACTATAAAGGAAAACAGCGTTTTGATAAAACGGACGATGAAGAAAGAAGAAAGGTACAACAATAAAAGGATATCATGTTGGTGACTAACGTACCTGATATGTTACAAAATAAGGTTTTAGGGGGTTCTTATGCAATGAAATAGTTGTAAGAGAGGGTGAAACTTTTTTAAAAAGCCTTCATCTCAAACCCTGTAACCCCCCCCCCCCAAAAAAAACCCAAAAAAAACCTGCCCGCCACCTTAATTAAAGATGTTCCGGATTTGTTTCTTGTTTTCAACCCAATTTCTGATTGAACAGATCGGTCAGAGTCTGAGGACAGAAATTTCTGTTCTGAAAGCTCTTCACCACTAAGAGGTAAAACCAATCTTCCATTATTAACCAGGCTTCCGTGGAAGCCGAGAAGGTCTGCTGGGGTAATGATGGTTGTAAAGCGCATAGAGCATGCTCTTGAGCATGGATATGCGCTATATAAATGCAATTATTTTTATTATTATTATTATTATTATTATTACAGGCAGATGTTGACAGCCCTGATTCAGATCATCACCAATGCTCGTCTCGGAAACCACTTCCATCTCTCGTAACGGGGTCTCTTTGCAGAAACATCCTGATTGCCAAATCACATTACTACTACAAGGAGTGACCGTCTTGGTCCTTCCCTCCATTACTTGGCTTAGTAGATTGTAATTGTATCTGCAGCACAGACCAATATAAACGATATTATTCCAAGAAAAATGCAAAAAATAACCTCGACTGAATCACACGCAAATATCCCCCCCCCCGCCCCAAACAAACACTCTCACACACACACACACACACACACACACATACACACACAGACACACACACATACACACACACTCATACACACACACACACACAGACGCACACACGCACACACACACACACACACACACACACACACACACACACGTACTTAAATGTTTACGTCATCAGACTTACTGTAAGTATTTTAACAACATCATCGATTCCATCTTAACCGCACTGAGACTTTTACTTAACTGTTGCTTTATCTTCCATGTTATTCACTGTTTTAAGTGAGGTAAGTTTGGCTTAAAAATGACTGAAACAAAAAGTTTTCATTCTTAAACTAGTGATTTTTTAGTTGTGTATTGTCTAGGTTTTCCAGCTCCAGCTAATAACGTCTTCTTTTTATTTATACTGAAGTTCTTAAAACGGCATTTTTTTCAGGAGAGACTACTTTGATGAAAATGGAATAACATAAGTTAGTAATTGATTGATCCGTTGGAGAATGTCTGATAAGAGAACATAAACACAAAAAATAACTGCACAGTCACAGCATATTTTATGAGACTACTGGCTTTTATTTATATATTATTCAGGTTAATTCGATGTGTACCACCATCCTCGATCAGTGCTCCAGATATCTCGGAACACTGAGACCAGCAAGCATTGCGCTGCCCTGGGCTATCGTCGAGCTAATTGTATTATTTGTAGGCGAGATAAGCGGGTTAGATTCCCTGGCCGATCACGCCCCGCTTACCGCGAGACTGGCAACAGAGTCCGTTAGTAGCTGAGGGAGCTTCTGTTATCAGTAATTAACCCTTTATAGCCAGCAGCTGAGCAAATATGT